CACGAGGAGCAGGGGAGGGTCTCTCTCCTAGAAGGGCTGTGAGCCTGCTGGTGGGCGCCCGCCCTTCCTCCCTCTGTGTCCTCCCAGTGGCAGAGGTGCCCTTCCTCCCTGTCAAGTTTAGCTCCCCAAGCTGGCCCTGAAAACCATACCCTCCCCCCCCACCCCTTCAAGGATCTCCTTCCTATCTAAACACCCACATTGTCCTGTAGTATCACTGACCTCTCTGCTCCTACCTTCCCTTCACTAGTGAAGAACGCTGCTCTAGAAACGCACTCTAGAGCGGCGTTCCCCAAGACCCTGGGACTTGGGATTGGCATCTAAAGTGGACGCAGTCTTGTTGGACTGAGCCCTCACCCTGCGGGGTCTGCACCAACTCCGGGAGTTACTGTCGGAATTGAGTTGAATTGTAGAGCCCCCAGCTGGTGTCCCAAGAATTGAAGAATTGCTTGATATGGGAAAGGAAACACAGGCACACACACACACATTTGGTGTCATAATTGTTGTGAGTAGACACGGTTTGAGTGCCAATTATTTCAGACACCAGTCAGCTGCTGAAACAGCACCAGCCCCATTTTCCTAGGTGCCTATCTGAAGTGGAGAAAAACTGGAACCTCCTTCTCCCCTATGTCGTCTTTTCTTGCTGAACTAGGGAATACTGAAGGCAGCACTTGAGTTTGTTTTTTGTTTCGCTCATATCCGTGCAGCTGGCTTCTCTGTGCAAAGGCCCGTTCGTTTGCTTAGAAGAAAAATAATTTGTTTCCACTTCCACCTCTGCAACTAGAAAATGTGCTTTTAATCCAACTAGTTTAGTAGATTTTACAATACCTAATTTTCAAATGAGAATACTGAGACTTTGAAATTCAAAATGAATGTGCCCAAGTTCACAGAGTAATGCCCATCAGGGCCTAACAGGGAAGAATACGGTAACAGTTACACATTTGTGCTCTCTGCTCAGTAAAATTCAAGACAGTTTGCTTTATGGGGAAATTTCTGCTTTAGGGACCACCACTGAATCACCCCATATATAAGGTTGTCTATCATCCTCTCCACACATGTACCCATTCCGAAATTCCCCCACATTTGGGAATTTCCCGCAGTTCAATACTTTACTGAGAAGGCTGAGATGGCTCACCCCAGGAAGTCATGTCAGGGTAGGATACAAGGGACAGAACCACAAGGGTGGGAAACCTTCCCCTGAGCATGAAGTGAGAACTAGAAGGTTGGCAAGTTTCAGAGTCCTGGATATGTCATGTCAGGTCACACAAAAATTCTCTGTGGAAAGTCAAGCATGAAAAAGTGACATGGCAAATAGTTGAGTCTACCCCTTCCCCCAATCGCATCCACCCACCTCCAGAAACAAGTTTTATTCTGACTCAGCCCTAGAATTTGAGTCATGGACACTCCCACACATACTTGGCAAGTCTTGGCTGGGATGTTCTGTAGTCTCAGACCTCCAGACTTGTCAAGCTGCTTAGAGATCAAGCTTGGTCTTCCTTGCCAACTAGAGGCTCCTTTCTCTGGTTAGAACGACAACAGTCTTGCTGTCAATGGAATTGTGTCACCATCCTGTCTTGCCCATCGGGCAGGCCTAGAAACCCCAGACAATCATGGCTATGCTTGTGCCAATGGGTGTTCAGGGTGGGTCTTTCCTCTAGGAGAATTCCGAGGCGCCTGTCAGGAAGCATGCCTACACTCCTGAATCTCTGAAACAGGTGCTCGTTTTCTCATTTAGGCCTCTTGTGCAATTGTCCTCACTTTTTAAATTAACATACGAGTTCTTTTTCCACATTGATGGTTTCTACTCGTCCTGGAAAATGTGATCCCAAAACAGAAAAATATTGGCAGTTGACCCTGCTACTACTTGTCCACATCTGGTCCCCTTGTCCCCAGCCTCAGTGAACTCGTCCCCTCTTCAAGTCTTTGCTGTCTTGAACAACTTTATCTACTACTCTTCAGTGGTGGGAAAGTGGAACCCCTAGTCTTTCAAATCTTTTATATCTTACACCTGGCCGTTAGTTTTTGAAACTAAAGGCCAAGCGTTTGATTCTTGTTTCTGTGGTTCTGCTATGACAATTCTCCCTTAAGACAACACAGCTTGGTTTCTATCTGCCCAACAGCAGGAGGTTCATGGAGGAACAGGGAACATCACACACACCAAAAACTCTGTTGCTATATCAAAGCATCTCCCTGCCACGCTGTCAAAATAAAGAGCTAGCAAAATGTCACCCTCATTTTATGTTTCGTTGGGGCAGGGAAAAACCATCAAAGAAACTGCACGTTATCTAAGAAAACATTTACAGTCAAAGGCAATCTGTCCTCCTGTGGGAATCCTTGGCAAGGAATAAGATAGGATGATGTGGTCACACTGTACTTGACAGAGGGCTCGCCTGCTATCAGGTGAAACCGAACTCCCCGCGGAGACAAAACAAGGTTTATGGGTTACCAGACACGGTGTCTGCTTACAAACAAAGTGTGGTCATGTTAGGTGGCATTCCAAAGGCGCATGTCATCTGGGGCATTCAGGTCAAAGTTACTACTATCGAGAAGGAGTCTCCTGTTTAGTTTATAAGAATATTGATCAAAGTTTAGAAATACTACATTTGATATGGAATTAAACATTAGCCAGTTCAGTGTGGCTTATTTCCCTGTTTCATAGAAGGTTGAACTAGATAAAAGTCAACCTCATGATATGTTTAAAGGATTAAAATGATATACAAGTGGCAGTCATTGGACAAGCTCCAAGACCAAAATATTCTAAAAGGCTCTTAGTCATTTTAAGACATTTTGCATTTGAGACACCAGGAAGTCACCAAGTGACTATCAATATTTTGACCCCAGCCTGGAGTATTATTTAGGGTAGGATGAATCCTCAGTTGTTCTTACCCTTCTCTGTAGATGGCAGGCTCTACAAAAGACAAGAGAATCTTCCTCAAATGCAGAAATAGCCAAAGATCACCACAAATGTACACAAAGAAACCAAGAGTTGTTTTCTGCAGAAATACCAGAGAATCTAAGCAGGGCATACTACATGCTGAGACAGGACTTTAGTTTGCTGGGTAGGCAGGTGGCTTGGTTTGGTTTTTCCTGCACTCAACTTATAGAAGAGGAGGCAAATCACAAGAAAATTAGCCAAGATCACAAATCATTCATGGCAATTAAGGAGTTATCTCACACCCAACCAGACACTTTCTAGATGAGGAAATTGGCATCTGGAGAGTGAATGACTTTCCAAGGTCTCTGAGCAAGTTAGTTGCAATACTTGGACAAGAACCTGGTTCTATCTCTGAGTCCAAGTCTCTTCCCACTTCATGCTTCCTGGGTGATCACGGGTTTTATCATGAAAGCCATGAGCTGAGCCATCTTCCTTTACCCCTACCACATCTAGGGCTTCTACACGATGGCTCTAATATAACAGCACAATGAAAGTTCACTCGAACAACAGAATGGAAATGCAAGGTTCTGAGACAGGAACTAGATGAACAACACATAGTAGGTGCTGAATAAGCATTTTATTAATGAACTAATGAATGAATGTGTGAATAAAGTGTGATGCGTTGTCAGGGCATTATACACGGAAAGAGCAGCCCACAATGTATGATGTCTTCCTTTCAAGTCTGACATTCTCAAAATATTAATACATGGGTAAGGGTTAGCTGATAATACCAAGCTTATCCATAATGGTAAGTATAGCCCCCAAATTAAAATCATTCCAGTGATCAAATGCTTTAAGTAAAATGTCGGAATTCAAGATATATGGGATTAAATGAGGGTTGGTTAATCTTTGTAATTAAAATACACTTAAAATTAACATCAAAATTGTTTTAAATGTATTAACAGTGATTGATGCTGGGATAGCTATTACAGGGGAATTTTTCTTCTTGTTTTCTATCTTTCTCCACTTTCTGAATTTTTTAACATTAAAAAAATGGAACAGGGATGAGGATGAAGTGACGGTGTTCAGAGATGGCAGCACCTCCTGTCTGCCAGGTTTGATCTTGGGGACACGGCAGTGCACGAAAGGGCCCAGGTTCCTGCCCTCAGGACCCTACATTGCAGAGAGGGGGTCCAACAAGGAGCAAATCAGCAGCCCTATAGCAAGTGGTGAGGAAGCAGAAGGCAAGGTTGGGGTTTAATGAGTGATGGCAGAGGGTACAGTTTTTTTGTTGTTGTTGTTTTTTTGAGACAGAGTCTCACTCTGTTGCCCAGGCTACAGTGCTGTGGCATCAGCCTAGCTCACAGCAACCTCAAACTCCTGGACTCAAGCGATCCTTCTGCCTCAGCCTCCCAAGTAGCTGGGACTACAGGCATGCGCCACCATGTCCAGCTAAATTTTTTCTATATAATTTTAGTTGGCTAATTAATTTCTTTCTATTTTTAGTAGAGATGGGGGTCTTGCTCTTGCTCAAGCTGTTTTTGAACTCCTGACTTTGAGCAATCCTCCTGCCTCAGCCTCCCAGAGTGCTAGGATTATAGGCAAGAGCCACAGTGCCCGGCCTGAGGGTACAGTTTTTAAGAGGGCACTCAAGGAAGGCATTCGGGCAGAGACTGCAGAGAGCAGCAGCAAGGCCAAGGCCAATTAGGGGGCCTCTATGCGACACAGGTGAGGGTTGATGGAGGCTCTGCGTGGAGCAGAACAGAGAAGGGTCGTATTTTGTCTATACCCAGACAGTATAGCTGCCAGGATTGCTGACAGAATGGCAGAACGTGAGATACACAGAAAGAGACGCGTCTTGAAGGAGTCCTGAGCTTGGCCTGAACATACTTTGCTTCAGAGCCCATCCAGCCCAAATCCAGGCAGCTTGCCAGAGATGAATGAAGCTTTGCTTTTTGAGCACCTGTTATTCTTCAACACGCCGTCCCCATCCTTTAGATTCACAATAGTCTCCTTATCTCCATTTTACAGCTAGAGAAAAATGGCATCCCAGACTACATAAATGAGCCGTGACCACGACCCCCGTGAGGGGCGGGACTGACACTACCATGAACATTTTCCGACTTACCTGGGTGCTGCTTCTGAAGGCTCCTGACCCGCGGATAACAGGGCCACGTGCGTCCCTGTTGTGCGCTCCACAGCGCCCCGGAAAGCACCGGGCTGGGCGTGTTGTGGCCTCAACAAATGCTCCTTGAATTACTTCCCCGCAGAGAGAGGCCACAGGCAGCTGGACTGTGAAGCTGAAGGACTTATTGTGGGATCAGACCAATCTCATTTCTGTCCCCGCTTCTGCATTTAGTCCTCTGACTTTGGGCAGGCTTCCACGCCTCTTAACCTTTACTTTACCCCTTGTTTAAAAAAAAAAAAAAAAAAGAAAAGAAATGAGGATAATCATCCCTGCGCCCAGAGTTGCGAGGAGGATTCCGTGGAAGGGCACTTGCGGAGCACTCACGGTGGGAGCTGGCACGCACCGAGCAATCGGGAAGCGCACAGTTACCAAAACAAGGCCCTAGAGACTGTGTTATCCCTCCTCACTCCTCAGCCCACGCTTCAGTTCCTGCCAAACCTGTTAGAAGACTGGGTAGCTTAAAATAGAGCAACTGGGGAAGTCGCTTCTGCTCCGCTGCCGGCGGCCGCACCGCGGGGCGGGCCGAGGCCGAGGCCGAGGACGAGGACGAGGCCGAGGACGAGGACAAGGACGAGGAACGCAGACTGAGTCATCCCGCTCCCCGCAGGTTTGAGTCGCACGGGGCCATGCTCCGGGCCAGAGCCGCCGCGCACCCGCACCTGGCTTTCCCGAGACGACAAGTGGGGAGGCCGGCGTGCTTCGGGACATCTGAGCGATCGGCTGTGGAGCCGTCTCCCCAGCCCCTGTCCAGCCGGGGCTGCGCGTCCGTGCTGGGCCGCAGGGGTGCCCGAAACGCGCAACGCCCGTCTGCAGAGAAAAGCACAGACATGCCATCCATCAGATTATTTTCGTGGGCAGCTAATTAAACAAAAAGCTGTCTCCCTGTCTGACATAAGAAACTGAAATATTTTTCAGTCCTACTAACTTATGAGTTACTTGGTGCCCTTTACTGGCTCATTATAAAGAAAACGAAAAAAAAAAAAAACACTTCCTGAAAATTAACCTGCTGAGTCAACCTGCAAAAGCAACTGTGGCCCGTGCTCAGGAGCCGGCTCACTGTCTAGATTCACGTTAAAGGGCCCCAGTCCTCTGCACTTCTCACTGGCCACCTCCTTTCCTTTGACATCCCCCACCCCACTTTGGAGGCTTGCTTGCTTGGCCACCCCCGACGGCCCCTCTCGTTGCACCCCATTTGAAACTATGCGGTGCTTTCCTCTGCTGAGCTGGTCCCTCCAGAATGTGCAGTGGTGCGGGAAGCGGGGGAGAGATGGCTCTGGAGCCTGCTGCCCACCCCCAGGGCAGCAGAAGAGTTGACCAGAAGCCTGAGGGAATGTCTTGAAGGGAACACTAGAAGTGTATTAAGTCATAATACTCACGGGTGTAAACAAGCCCTTTCCCACGGCAGTGACCGTTTGGACGGCTATGCCATTGTTTATTTAAATGGCAGAGGGAGAGGACATCAGAATCTGACTTGTGACAAAAAGGTGGATGCAGGAATCACCTGGTGCTGTGGCGCATGCCTGTAGTCCCAGCTACTCGGGAGGCTGAGACAGGAGGATTGCTTGAGCCCAGGAGTTTGAGGCTGCTGTGAGCTAGGCTGACGCCACGGCACTCACTCTAGCCTGGGCAACAAAGCGAGGAGAGACAGAGAGAGAGACAGAGAGACAGAGAGAGAGAGACAGACAGAGACAGACAGAGAGAGAGAGAGAGGAGACACACTGGGCATGGAGACTCTGTCTCAAAAAAAAAAAAGAAAAATTCTGATGGTCAGGAATTAAAAATTCTGAGGTGGTCAATTCACCCACCTCAGGCGAATTGAATAAGAAATCTCTGAGGTTGGGACAGGGCATTTTTAATCCCTGCAGGTGACTCTATTATGCAGGTAAATGTTGCATGTCCAGTCCAATGGCTTTTAAATATTTCTGAGTCATAGACTCCCTTAGTAAATACAATAGGTCCCCTCTGCAGAGATAAAAAAAAAAAAACAAAACCCTTTTACACAATTTCAGAGAAGACACTGATAACTGAGACTCCCCTATCAGTCAGACTTCTCTTTGGGTTAATGATGAGTGAGGCTGGGGGCAGTTAAGGAGTCTCAGCCCAACTAATAAGGACTGTGAGCTAACAAAAAGCCAGCTCAGTATTCTTTCTCCTCTCTTAATGGCAAGTGCTAGTCAGAAACAGTTTTCTCTAATCTAACAAGGAGCTGAAAATAATGAGAAAAGCAATGATTTTCTGTTTATCTTTTTAAATCTGTTTATTGAGCAGATCTCAGGCAAATCATGTAATAATACTAAAATTCATCAGTGTACTGAAACTGCCCTAAATTAAGTTTTACTAATTATCTTAAACGCCTCCTGTTATGGGTTGAATTTTGGCCCCCGAAAAATATAACGAAGTCCTGGAAATGTGACCTTATTTGGAAATAGGGCCTTCGTATATATAATCAAGTTAATGTGAGGTCATTAGGAGAGGCCCTAATCCAGTGTGACTGGTGTCCTTATAAAAAGAGGACAAAGCCAGGTAAAGACCTAGATACTTAAGAAGAATGCCATATGGCAACGGAGGCAGAGGTTGGAGTGACACATCCATCAGCCAAGGAATGCCAAGGATGGCCACTACCACCAGGAGCTAGGAATAGGCAAGGAAAGAGCCTCCCCTCCAGGTTTCAGAGGGAGTATGGCCCAGCTGACACCTTGACTTTGGACTCTGGACTCCAAAACGTGGAGACAATAAATTCCTATTTTGTAAGCCCCCCAGTTTGAGGCATTTTGTATACCTGCCTTTGGAAACGAATAGACCTCCTATTATTCCGTGGACTTAAAAAGCAAGCTGTGGCCGGGTACAGCGGCTCACGCCTGTAATCCTAGCACTCTGGGAGGAGGGCGGATCTTTTGAGCTCAGGAGTTAGAGACCAACCTGAGCAAGAGCTAGATCCTTCTCTCCCAAAAATAGAAAAAATTAGCCGGGCATTGTGGTGCATGTCTGTAGTCCCAGCTACTCGGGAGGGTGAGGCAGAAAAATCGATTGAGCCCAGGAGTTTGAGGTTGCTGTGAGCTAGGGTGATGCCACGGCACTCTAGCTGGGACAACAGAGTGAGACTCTGTCTCAAAAAAAGCAAGCTGGGGTGCAGAAGCCACAGAGGAAGGCCACTAGAGACCTGCACTCCAGCCTCCCTTGCCTGGCTTGGTGAAGAGATTTCCTTCATGAGAATCTAAGGCTGTCCCCTGCTCTTTAGAAAGATTTCTACTTGAATATTTTGTTCCCTGTTAATTTTGCTCATGGCAGTGTGTATTTTCTTTGGGCACTTACAACTGTCTCTAATGTCCATCTCCCCAACTGGATTATCACTTCCCTAGGGGAAGGGACAATGCCTCTCTTTTTCTTGGCCCATACCTATCTCAGTGCCTGGTATGAAGTGGACTCTAAATAAAGGCTTGGGCGAATGAGCGAATGCACAATGGTGTTCAGTCTTTATCTCGATGGATTTCTCTGCTGCATCTGATCCTGTTGACACCACCTCTCTTCCCTTGATTCGAATGATGCCAATTATTCTCTTGACCATTTCTGATGGTTCCTTCTCATTCTCTTTCACCATGCCTCTCTTTCTCTACACACCCTGTAACCCCTTGTATTCATTACCCCTGGATTCATTGCTCATCTCATTCTCTGTTCAAGTTGTAACTACTACTGATATCCATATGCCTCTTGAACTTTGGGCTGAGTTCTTTCCTGAGTTTCACAGTTTTATATCCACACTATCTGCAAGACATTCCCATCCTAGTAAATAAAAGTCAACCAACTTTACCACTTCTTAATATTTCAAATCATTCTCTCTTCTCCTATCCTAAATGACTGCCAACACTGAGGCCTTCATCGCCTTTTTAAAACAACAATGACCTCTTTGACTTCCCAGATTTTAGACTTATAACCCCCAAATCCATCCTCTCTAATAGGCACCAGATTGATATAGCTAAAATATCAGTTACTCCTTACTTATGCTAGCGCAGTTATCTTGTAAGATAAAGTCCAAGCCCCTGAATATGACACACCAGCCCCTGTTTATTTCTCCAGTCTCAAATCCCACTTCTTCTGCTTTAAACTTTAAAGTTCAGCTGCACCAAAGTATCTCATATGCATGTTCTTATATGCATTCTCCCTATCATGCATTTGCTCATACAGGTTCATTGAAGAAATGTCCTGAGTTAACGTCTCATTCTTTTTTTTTTTTTTAGACAGAGTCTTACTCTGTCACCCAGGCTAGAGTGCAGTGGCATTATCATAGCTCACACAACCTCAAACTCCTGAGCTCAAGCAATTCTCCTGCCTCAGCCTCCCAGAGTGCTAGGATTACAAATGTGAGCCACCGTGCCCAGCAAACTTCTCATTTTTTAAGGCTCATTATGGTGGTACACAGCCTTTAAAAATGGATATTGATAATCCCCAACTTTTAGTTTTCACACCTTATGTTATTCCCTCGCCTTGAATGTGAGTTTGACCTAGTAATTTGTTTCTAATAAGTAGAATACAGTGAAAGTGATGGGATATCAATCCGTGATTAGGTTGTAAAATACAGTGACTTCTCTCTTATTTGTACTTTCTTTCTGGTGCTTCTCAAATGCTTGCTAGTGGCAAGAAATTGAAGGTGGCCTCTAACTAATCACCAGTTAGGAACTGAGAGGCCTTCAGGCAAACCACAAAAGAGGTTAGAAGTGGAGCCTTCTCCATTTGAGCCTTCAGTTGAGACCACAGCCCTAGCAAACAACTGACTGCAGCCCTCTGAGACACACTGAAGCGGAAGATCCAGCTAATCCATGCCTAGAATCCTGTCCCACAAAAACTATGATATAATAAATGCATGTTGTTTTAAACTGCTAAATTTTGGAGTAATTTGTTATAGCAACATATGACGAATACAATCATCTCAGGCAACATCTACTCCATGAGGACTTCAATACCTCCTGCCAACTTTACATGCACATACACACTTTGTGAGCCTCTTTAGAGCTTCCACAATGCTTTGTATCCACCTCCTACCACTGCATGTAAAAGACCCATTGTAAATAATCCTTTAATTAATTTTTGAGTTGTTTTCCCTGCTAGACTTTAAGATGTAGCATGTCCTCTTGGCTATTTTATCTTTGTATCTCTAGTGTCAAGTAGCTATTGGCACATATGATCAAAAATTATTTTACAGATGAATGAATAAATGAGTGAATAAATGAATGAATGTCATTTTGCTAAGTGAAGCGGGGTTAAAAAATAAAGTGGATCTGTGTTATGCCTATAGGAGCATATAACCAAGTTGGAAAGGGTGACATAAAATAAATTAACATAAAAGTGAATGAAATAAGTGTTGGGTCATGATAAAATAAATATGCTATGGGAATCTAAAAGACAAAATGTCCTTTCTGATCTGAGAAATCTGAAAAAAAGACTTCTCAGGGGAAATGGAATTTTACATGGGCCTTGAAGGATAACAAAGCTTTGAGCATAAAAAACATGAAGAAT